TGGAATTTCTGGAATTTGTGGAACTTCTGGAATTTCTGCAATTTCTGGATTTTGTGGAATTCCTGGAATTCCTGGAATTTGCGAAATTTCTGGGATTTGTGAAATTTCTGGAATTTTTGGAATTCCTGGAATTTGTGCAATTCCTGGAATTCCTGGAATTTCTGAGATCTCTGGAATTTCTGAAATCTCTGGAATTCCTGAAATTTCTGGAATTTGTGGAATTTCTGGCATCTCTGGAATTCCTGGAATTCCTGTAATTTCTGGAATTTGCAAAATTTCTGGGATTTGTGAAATTCCTGGAATTCCTGAAATTTCTGGAATTCCTGGAATTTGTGCAATCTCTGGAATTCCTGGAATTTCTGCAATTCCTGGAATTTGTGCAATTTGTGGAATTCCTGGAATCTGTGGAATTTCTGGAATTCCTGGAATTCCTGAAATTTCTGGAATTCCTGAAATTCCTGGAATTTCCGGAATTTGTGGAACCTCTGGAATTTGTGGAATTTCTGTAATTCCTGGAATTTGTGCAATTTCTGGAATTCATGGAATTTGTGGAACTTGTGGAATATTTGGAATTTCTGGAATTTGTGGAATCTCTGGAACTTCTGGGATTTGTGAAATTTCTGGAATTTCTGCAATTTCTGGAACTTCTGGAATTCCTGGAATTTCTGGAACTTCTGAAGTTTCTGAAATCTCTGGAATTTCTCTAATTTCTGGAATTTGTGCAATTTCTGACATCTCTGGAATTTCTGGAATTTCTGGAATCTGTGAAATTTCTGGAATTTGCGAAATTTCTGGAATTTGTGCAATTCCTGGAATTCCTGGAATTTCTGAAATCTCTGGAATTCCTGGAATTTCTGAAATTTGTGGAATTCCTGGAATTTCTGAAATCTCTGGAATTTCTGGAATTTGTAGAACTTCTGGAATTTGTGAAATTTCCGGAATTTCTGGAATTTGTGGAACTTCTGGAATATCTGGAATTCCTGCAATTTGTGGAATTTGGAATTTCTGGAATTTGTAGAATTTCTTTAACTTCTGGGATTTGTGAAATTTCTGGAAT